CGTCTCTCCTCGCGATTACGTCTCCCCGCGATTGGTCGAGAATACATGGTCCTTCGAGTCGGATTTCGTGCCACCGGTGCAAAAGTGCACTGACCAGTGACTATACAGTGTCACGTGAAATCCAAGTTCCAATTACTTAGTCAACTGACCAAAGGAACCGCCATCGGAGAGGAGCACCTCCTTCGCTCAGCATCTACACGAGCCCATGCCGCATCGTAACGAGTAGCGACCGAATCCCAGATCAACGTCCACTTGATCAAGGTAAGATCGTTCCTATTACTAAAATCAAATATGGCCCAAGCTGAACCAATCAGCACGTTACGGCGGAGACGAGGCGCCTTAGCCGGTCGACTTGCAACCATAAGGCGTGAACTCGATGAATACGAAGCGTCTGGGAAGGCAAACAGAACCTTCCTAACATCTTGCCGCAACTCGTTCGATGATAATTGGAGGAGGATACTCGCGGTTCAAGAAGAGTTAGAAGGGTTAGATGAGGGGGAAGCTGCGCGTTTAACTTCGTTATCGCAAGATCATCGGGAGCTTGACCTACGGCTCCTAGATCTCTTTGATCAAATATCAGCAACAACCCCGTCGACAACAAAAACAGGCGAGAAATGCCGGAAACCAGAGCCGACCACCGTTCCAGAGGTCCGCGTGCCCTCGAGAACTGGACCTATTTCTACGACACGTTCTCATCCATAGTGGACCGTAACGAAAGTTTGACGAATGTCCAAAAGTTCCAGCATCTACGCTCATCTATAACTGGACGAGCCGCACAGTGTATCCAGTCACTGGAATTATAAGAGCCCTGCTCTAACGTACATATCTATCTTATCTTCGTGCAATAAGTGATTATCTATCTATCTATGCTCATCAGTGTAATCTAAGTGTTGGAAATATATAATTTATAATTCTGTGAATCACAGTGTTATACAAACTCAATCACCCCTTATTATTTCAACGGAAATCAGGGGATCGATCAATTCGTGGTGTCGATTGTTATAATCGTAACGGGGATTTACGACCCCCGTTGACGTCTCTCCTCGCGATTACGTCTCCCCGCGATTGGTCGAAATTACATGGTCCTTCGAGCCGGATTTCGTGCCACCAAAAAGTGCACTGACCAGTGACTATACAGTGTCGCGTGAAATCCAATTTCCAACCACTTAGTCAACTGACCAAAGGAACCGCCATCGGAGAGGAGCACCTCCTTCGCTCAGCATCTACACGAGCCCACGCCGCATCGTAACGATTATCAACCAAATTCCAGATCAACGTCCATTTGATCAAGGTAAGATCGTTCATATTATTAAAATCAAATATGGCCCAAGCTGATCCAATCAGCACGTTACGGCGGAGACGAGGCGCCCTAGCCGGTCGGCTTGCAACCCTAAAGCGCGAACTCGATGAATACGAAGCGTCTGGGAAGGCAAACAGAAACTTCCTAATATCTTGCCGCAACTCGTTCGATGATAACTGGAGGAGGATACTCGCGATTCAAGAAGAGTTAGAAGGGTTAGATGAGGGGGAAGCTGCGCGTTTAACTTCGTTATCGCAAGAGCATCGGGAGCTTGACATGCGGTTCCTAGGTCTCTTTGAGCAAATGTCAGCAACAACCCCGTCGACAACAAAAACAGGCGAGACATGCCAGAAACCAGAGCCGACCACCTTTCCAGAGGTCCGCTTGCCCCAATTCGACGGTGCCCTCGAGAACTGGACCTATTTCTACGACACGTTCTCATCCACAGTGGACCGCAACGAAAGTTTGACGAAGGTCCAAAAGTTCCAGTATCTACGCTCATCTATAACTGGACGGGCCGCACAGAGTATCCAGTCACTACAACTCACGGAGGCCAACTATCCCATAGCGCTAGACACACTGAAGGATAAGTTCAATTGCCCCCTCCAAATCTGCATGCACCATTGGAATTTGATGCGCAACTATCCGGAAATCAAAAAGGAAACTCCAGAAGCCCTAAAGGATTTGTTGAAAACCATCAGCGTAAATCTAAAGGCGCTCGAAAACCTAAAACAGCCTGTCACATCAAATATAGCGATTATCGAATTGCTCGCGTCGAAATTGCCCTCGTCCAGCCTGCGTAAATGGCAACGCACACTGCCTCGCCAACAGGTGCCATCCTATCAGCATCTGATAGACTTTCTCAAAACACGGGCGAACGGGACTCAACTCCTCTCTAAAGCGAAGGAATCAAAAGGGTCAACCCACAAACACCACAGTCAGTGAACAACCATATCGCATGGACGAACCTTTGCTACAACCAGTAGGACGTTGGTGTGTCCGACCTGCAACGGACCTCACGAGCTCAGACACTGTAAAATCTTCAAGGCCAAATCAGCGACAAAACGTTTTCAGATCGTGAGGAAGGCATCGTTGTGTATAAATTGCCTAGGCAGAGGACATTCGCCGACACAGTGTACATCGGGTTCGTGTCGTATCTGCGGTCACCGACACCATACTTATCTACACCGCGAACAAACCCAGGTAGACTCACGGTCGGCAAGCGGTTGGTCGCCGAGCAGTCGGTCGTCGGGCAGTAGCTCATCGAGCGGTCGGTCGTCGGGCAGTCGTTCATCACATTTCATCACACATGCGAGTCTCCACTCGACAATCACCATCTGGACCATCGAAGTCGCGGTCGTCCCACAAGTCGAGGCGTACATCCGATACTTCACGGAAACATACATCTTCGGCTCCAAGAGATACGAAAGAGCATGCCTCGTATGAGTCACGCTCAGCACGGATCAAGAACACCGCCCCAACCTCCTCGTCCAAATCCCAACCGGTGCAAAACTGACTGTCTAAGACTACGACGGCAAGGGGGATCGGGCTAACAAACACATCTTCCCACACCCCTCTGCATCATGATCTGTTGGTCACAGCACAGATCAAGGTTTTGAACAAACAGGCACAACCAATCCGACCCTGAGCCTTACTCGACACTGGGTCGAGCATGAACTTCATGACTAACAAGCTCGCAAACTCCCTCGGTATAAAGCAAGGGAGATGTGCGGTCCAGATCGGAGCTCTCGACGATTTGAGCACCACGGCAAAACGATTCATCACGGCCACAATTACGTCGACGGACGGCAAGTATAAGAAAACATTGAGATTTCTTGTTATCCCGGCCATATCGACCTTCATACCAAATGAGCCCATCGACCCCTCGAGTTTGAAATTACCCAGAAATATCCAATTAGCCGATCCACAATTCCATTGCCCAGCCCCGATCGATGTCTTGCTTAGCACCGGATCAACATTTGCGTCGCCGTGCATCGGGCAGGTCAATCTGGCACAACCAGGCGAACCTGAACTGCGTCTACAAAAAACACGGTTCGGTTGGGTAATCGGGGGAAGTCCAACGTCCAAAACCGCGATAAATACGAATCGGGGGGAGTCCCACGTCCCAAACCGCGATAAATACGTTCCATGCAACCACAACGGCTCTGCAAGAGGACCTTGCGCGGTTTTGGGAGATCGACGAGGGACCGGCCACTACTCGTCTTTCAGAATCTGAACGACTATGTGAAGAACATTTCCGAAACCATGTCCGACGAACCAAGGAAGGCAGATACATCGTTGCATTACCATTCAACAAAAAGCTTTCCTCACTAGGGTCATCGAAGACCGCTGCAATGAGCAGGCTCGCAAGATACATCGTTGCATTACCATTCAACGAAAAGCTTTCCTCACTAGGATCATCGAAGGCCGCTGCAATGAGCAGGATCGCATCTCTTCATCGTCGATGCCAACGCGGCAAACAATATGAAACCGCGTATAGTGCTGTGATTCAAGAATATTTAGACTTGGGTCACATGACGAAAATCAACACGGATCACGCTACCGACCACGGACATTATTTACCACATCACGGCGTGATCAAGGAGTCGAGCGACACCACCAAGCTCCGGGTTGTGTTCAACGGCTCAGCATCAAGTACCACGGGAGTTTCTCTAAACGACGCCCTTCACACCGGCCCGAGATTACAAGATGACTTGAGAAACAACCCATTGAGATTCTGATCATTTCAATATGTCCTTACCGGCGACATCGAGAAAATGTACCGTCAATTCATCATACGTCCAGAAGATCGTCCTTATCAAAAGATTCTGTGGCGTGCCGACAACGGAGAGATCGAAACTTATCGACTCAACACCGTAACGTTCGGTCTATCCGCAGCCCCGTATCTGGCCATCCGATGTCTCAAACAGTTGGCAGAAGACGAGGAACCTCGATTTCCGAGAGCAGCGCAGATCCTGCGGCGAGATCTGTTCATCGTCGATTCCAACGCGATAAACAATATGAAACCGCGTATAGTGCTGTGATCCAAGAATATTTAGACTTGGGTCACATGACGAAGATCAACACGGATCACGCCACCGACCACGGATATTATTTACCACATCACGGCATGATCAAGGAGTCGAGCGACATCACCAAGCTCCGGGTTGTGTTCGACGGCTCAGCATCAAGTACCACGGGAGTTTCTCTAAACGACGCCCTTCACACCGGCCCGAGATTACAAGATGACTTGAGAAACAACCCATTGAGATTCTGATCATTTCAATATGTCCTTACCGGCGACATCGAGAAAATGTACCGTCAATTCATCATACGTCCAGAAGATCGTCCTTATCAAAAGATTCTGTGGCGTGCCGACAACGGAGAGATCGAAACTTATCGACTCAACACCGTAACGTTCGGTCTATCCGCAGCCCCGTATCTGGCCATCCGATGTTTCAAACAATTGGCAGAAGACGAGGGACCTCGATTTCCGATAGCAGCGCAGATCCTACGGCGAGACTTCTATGTCGACGATGCGTTGACCGGAGCCGATACGAAGGACGAAGCCTTATCAGTCAGGAATGATCTCACGAAATTACTCAAGCTAGCCGGTCTAAATATCCGCAAATGGGCATCAAACGATCGGGATCTGCTACAAGGGCTACCTGAGGAAGACACCAACCAGAAACACATTTCGGTGAGTCATCCACGTTAAAAACACTCGGCGTCTTTTGGGATTCAGCCGACGATTCCATTCTATATTCGGTCAAGACGATCAATGACACTTCGGGGATTCAGCCGACGATTCCATTCTATATTCGGTCAAGACGATCAGTGACACTTCCCGAGTCACAAAGCGATCAATCAGTTCAGTCGTCGCACAAATCTATGATCCACTAGGATTGCTCGCGCCGGTAATCGTCCGAGCAAAAATGATTTTGCAACAAGTCTGGACATTGAAGGTAGATTGGGACGAATCCCTTCCGACAATAATACGACGGGCCCTGACGACCAAGATATCGCGGAGCGTATACTGGACTGACTCCACCATCGTGCTTCATTGGACCATCGTGCTCCATTGGATCAGGTCTTCGCCGCACACCTTGAAGACATTTGTGGCGAATCGAGTCGCCGAGATACAGACCAAGACCAATATCTCCGACTGGCATCATGTGCCTACCGACGATGATCCAGCGGATCTCATCTCCCGAGGCCAGACACCCAAGGAATTCCTATGTCCGTCCATTTGGAAAAACGGGCCAAGGTGGCTCCTGCAAAGCGAAAACTATTGGCCGGTCTGGAGCCCGACACCGGTAGTCGACCTCCCGGAGCAAAGAAAGACGATCTGTCTGAAAACGAATATTAACGACAACACACTCCTCCATCGTTACTCGTCTTGGCCAAGACTAATAAGAATCGTCGCCTGGTGTCCTCGATGGAGACATAGGCAACACCGATCTGCCCATCTCACCACAGACGAACTAACTGCAGCGCACAACAGACTAATAAAAATAATACAATTCAGTCATTTCGCGTCTGAAATTCGGATCCTCCAGAAAAATCGAAGCGAGGATGTTGGAGGGAACAGAAAAATCGAAGCGAGGACGTTGGAGGGAAACTACAGCCATTAAACCCTTTCCTCGACGAAGATGGGATACTCCGGGTAGGAGGACGACTAACCAACTCCGCTATACCCTTCAGCCAAAAACACCCGATCATCCTGCCGAAATCCCCGGTGACAGAGCTAATCATAGAGAAAGAGGACCGGAACAATCATCATACAGGGACACAAGCTACACTATACGCGGTGAGACTGCGCTATTGGCCGATCGAAGGCCGTAGCCAAGTATGGCGCACTCACAGAAAGTGCGTCCGCTGCGTAGCCAAGTATGGCGCACTCTCAGAAGATGCGTCCGCTGCTGCAGAGCCAAACCTCTACCAGTGGAATACTTGATGGGTGATTTGCCAAAGGCGCGTATTACCGAGTCGGCCACTGCGGCCCATTCTACATCAAGGAGAGGAGGGACCGCAACCGACGTAAAATCAAGACGTACGCCGCCATATTCGTTTGTCTGGCGACAAAGGCGGTCCACATAGAGTTAGTCAGCGACCTAACCACCGACGCGTTCTTGGCCGCGCTACGCCGTTTCATCTCGCGGCGAGGATACTGCACAACGATCCTCACCGACAACGGCACCAATTTCGTCTAACCGGGAGCTGCAAGAACTCCGGACCCTATTGCAGTCCGACGAGCACCAGGATATGGTACAGAATTTTCTCGCCGACCGACAAATACAATGGCGTTTTAATCCTCCGAACTCACCACATCTTGGCGGCTTATGGGAAGCCGCGGTTAAAGCGTTCAAACGCCATCTTATTCGCGTTGTCGGCACGGAGCTCCTGACCCGGCACGGAGCTCCTGACCTTCGAGCACCTCAACACCCTTGTGATCGAAATTGAGGCCATTCTCAATTCACACCCACTGACTCCCATCTCATCCGATCCGAAAGATCCTCCTGTCCTCACTCCCGGTCATTTTCTAATCGGTGACGCACTAACCAGTTTACGGGAGCGTGATTTCAGGACAGTTCCATCAGGCCGGCTATCCAGTTGGCAGCGCATTCACCAGATTAAGCAGCGCTTCTGGAGCAGATGGTATCGAGAGTACCTAAATGAACTAACCCGCCGCAACAAGTGGGACAAGGGCAAACATAACATTCGTGAAGGCACCGTAGTAGTCCTCAGGGAGGATAACGTGCCCTCTATGCAATGGCCTTTGGGCCGCGTAATCAAGGTCCATCCAGGAGCCGATGGAATCATCCGGACCGCTACCGTGCAGACGGCAACAAGCATCCTGGACCGCGGTGTCAAAAGACTGGTCCCCTTACACATTTACCCAGATCCAGACGAGGCCGAATATCCAGACGAGGCCGAACGTCCACACGAAGCGAATGAGGTCACCAACGACGCACCTGACTCCACAGCCAGAATTTGATCGGTGCCCTCTAAACGGGGGGAGGATGTTACGCCGCCTAAAACATCTGCACGCCAGCCCGCGCGACCGGACAACAACCGGCCTGCGTAACGTCA